AGGTTGGAAACGCCTTTAAGATCATCAGGTCCAAGCTTTACCCCAGCACTGCCAAGGCCACCACTAGCCCATTTCACTGAGGGCCTCGTCTACACGGTGTGTGAAAGCTTCCAGGGACGGTGACTCCAGCCCTGCCCTGGGCAGCCTGTTCCAATGCCTGAGCACCTTTGGGGAAGGAATTGTTCCTCAGCTCCATCTAAACCTCCACTGGTGCAGCTTGAACCTGTTTCCTCTTGTCTCATCCCTTGTTCCAGGCAGCAGAGACCAGCGCCCTCCTGGCTCCATCTTCCTATCAGGCAGTTGTAGAGAGCAATAAGGTCCCCTGTGAGCCTTGTCTTAGAATCATAGAATAGTTAGGGTTGGAAAGAACCTTAAGATCACCCAGTTCCAACCCCCCTGCCATGGGCAGGGACACCTCACACTAAACCATGGCACCCAAGGCTCTGTCCAACCTAGTCTTGAACACCGCCAGGGATGGAGCATTCACAATTTTCCTGGGCAACCCATTCCAGTGCCTCACCACCCTCACAGTAAAGAACTTCTTCCTTATATGCAGTCTAAACTTCCCGTTTAAGTTTTAACCCGTTACCCCTTGTCCTGTCACTACAGTCCCTAATGAAGAGTCCCTCCCCAGCATCCCTATAGGCCCCCTTCAGATACTGGAAGGCTGCTATGAGGTCTCCATGCAGCCTTCTCCAGGCTGAACAGCCCCAACTTTCTCAGCCTGTCTTCATACAGGAGGTGCTCCAGGCCCTGATCATCCTCGTGGCCTCCTCTGGACTTGTTCCAACAGCTCTGTGTCCTTTTTATGCTGAGGACACCAGAACTGCACACAATGCTCCAGGTGAGGTCTCACAAGAGCAAAGGGGCAGGATCACCCCCTTTGACCTGCTGGTCACGCTCCTTTTGATGCAGCCCAGGATACAGTTGCTTTCTGGGCTGCAAGCGCACACTGAAGCTGGCTCATGTTCATTTTCTCACTGACCAACACCCCCAAGTCCTTCTCTGCAGGGCTGCCCTGAATCTCTTCTCTGCCCAACCTGTAGCTGTGCCTGGGATTGCTCTGATCCAGGTGTAGGACCTTGCACTTTGCTTGGTCTTTTCTCCAGACTAAACCCCCCCAGGTCCCTCAGCCGTTCCCCATCACAGTTGTGCTCCAGGCCCCGCACCAGCTCCGTTGCCCTTCTCTGGCCATGCTCCAGCACCTCAGTGTCCCTCTTATAGTGAGCAGCCCAGAGCTGAGCACAGGATTCAAGGTGCGGCCTCACCAGCACCCAATACAGGGGGACAATCACTGCCCTGGCCCTGGTGGCTATACTATTGCTGATAGAGGCCAGGATGCTGTTGGAATGAGATGGATTATAGGTAGGGAATACATTTGTTGGGTAAAAATACTGCTAGCACACTGATCAAGATTCTCTGCTTCTGTCCAGGCAAAGAATGGCTTCATGAACCTCACAGGGATTGATTACTCTCCTTCTGCAATACAGCTGTCAGAAAAAATAAGAGAGAAGGAAGGGATGTCCAGCATTAAATTAAAGGTAAGTAAGTTCAGAGAGAAAGCTGAGTGAGGAAATAGAAAGCAATTGAACCCAAGATTAAACAACCAAACTGCTACTCAGATGTACTCAGTGTACTATATTAGTGTTGTCTTTTGACGTTCATTTGTGGGAGAACTCTAATCTAATAAATCTCTATTTGCAAGAAGATTATTGGTCCCTTTTTTATTGCTGTCTGTAACAGTCATTAGGGCTGACAAGATTTCCCTGCTTCTACAGGCAACATTTGGCAAGTTCTCTATTTTAGCTGCTATATTCTGAATGTCACATCTGAGACAGAGGTTGAAATCCTAAGGTGATAGAATCCAAACAGTAGCTGTGCAACAGGAGGTTTGGGAATCCCTGCTGGAGCAGGGGGTAGGACCAGAGGTTCCATCCCATGAATCAGCCTTTCATCCTGAACTCTCTTTCTTCTGAGCTGTTTTACCCTCCAGCTCTGGATCTGCGTTCTGTCTCTGTTCTTGTATGTCAGTTGTAACCTCTTTGTAGCAGCCCTGTCTATTCTTCAATATTTGTACAGCACCCAGCATGCAGCACCTGCACTTCAATTGCACTTCAATTACGTTAGTTTGAGTTTCAGATGGACAGGTATATACACAGGCTTTACCACAAATAGATCATCACATGATGCATAGAGAAGAAAGAAGCTGTCAGGACATTTTAAGTGTGAAAGGCTGTGAGTTATCCCTTTCCTAAGCACACCTATTGTCAGGTTTGAGGCTTTGTATTTTAAAGTGTTTGCATTAAAGATTCAGGAGCTGCTGAGTAGAAGATTTGTTTTCACAGTTGCAGACTTCTGGTTTAGGTAGAAGACTTCCTGGCTCCATCAGCTGAGCTGTCAGGATTTGAGATCTGTATTGACAAGGGGACTTTTGATGCCATAAGCCTCAATCCTGATAACGCGGCGGCAAAGAGGAAGCAGTACGTGAGATCCCTCTGCAGTGTGTTGAAACCAGAGGGCTTCTTCCTCATAACATCTTGCAACTGGACCAAGGAGGAGCTGTTGAATGAGTTCAGAGAAGGTAAGCAGGTGAACAGAACCATCTGTCCGTGTATGGTTGTTTAAGGATGAGTAAATTTTAATGCCTGTGTTAGCATATTGACTCTTTTAGATCAGGGGTAGACAAGGTAAAGCGACCAGTAAATGCTTCAGCCTGTCTTCCCTCAGTTTTCCACAGAAATTAGAACTTCAGGGTTTGCCAGTGCCAACACACTGAGGAAGGACAGGTTTTGTTATACTTTGGAGGATGAGGATTTCAGCCTGGGGAAGTGTGTACCTGGGTGACACTTCTCCTTTGGCCCTTTAGTACGAGCTCCAGTTCACCCGTCTGATGGCTTTGAAATCAGGACAACATTGCTACCCATATTTAGATGAGCTGGCAAGTCTGTGACCATGATCTTTCATGTCACCTCCTCAGAGACCTTTCTAGGGGTTTTTTCCATGACACTTAGCTCCTCAATCTCATGCCTGAGGCTTGAACCTCAGTGTGGATCTAAACCAACCATCCCTTCTGGGGAACTAAAACCACTGGCAAATTCCCATCTTTTCTGCCATTAATTTGTGTGAGTCAGCCAGCTAAGAGTTTTATTATCCATGGAAGGCTTTCAGCTGTAGAAAGCAGTGGTGCAGTGTAACAACACAGTCCTATAAACTCCGAGCAACTGCCTTGCAAGTTTTCCAGAAGAATAAAGAATGGTTTGCAAAGGGTTATCCAGGAGGCGAATAAAATGACTTCCTTCTAATAAAAGCATTTTAATTTCTGTCTGGCAGGATTTGAGGTTCTGGAGGAGCTGCCAACACCCAAGTTTTGCTTTGGAGGAAGAATTGGGAACAGTGTAACAGCATTGGTTTTCCAAAGGAAAAAAAAAGGGAGGCCATCCATCCTGGACAAATGAGATGAGAAAAGCCTGAACTTTAAACCTGACAGAAAACCTCAGGCATGTATGTAAATAAATGCTCTTTGAGTACACAGTAAAATACTATGTACGGGGCTCTAAGGGGCTGTAAAACATTGCCCTAGGAACATTTCAGCTTTGCATAACTTGCCTGTAAATTCTGTCCTTGCTACAACCTCACTTGTTGTAGGGAAGCTGCAGGTTTGGAAGAGAGAAACGAGGCATTTGGAGTACGGAGACTAACAGAAGTGGATGACATCTGTGTTTGGAACACAAAGATTAACTGTATTTAATGCCTGTATCTCTAATCAGTGACCAAAAGAGGTACAACAAAAACCTCATTTCTCTGTTGTGTGGTTTAGCATGGAGAAGAGAAGGCTCCTTAAGGGGAGACCTTAGAGCAGCTCCAGTGCCTAATGGGGCTGCAGGACACCTGAAGAGGGGCTTGGGACAAGGGCCTTTAGGGACAGGCCAAGGGGAATGGCTTTAACCTGCCAGAGGGGAGACTGAGATGAGCTCTTAGGCAGAAGCTCTTCCCTGGGAGGGTGCTGAGGCTGCCCCATCCCTGGCAGTGTTCAAGGCCAGGTTGGACACAGGGGCTTGGAGCAAGCTGCTCTAGTGGAAGGTGTCCCTGCAGGGGACACCAGTGAATGGTCAACCCCCTTCCAGGCAGGGGGTTGGACCTGGATGAGCTTTAAGGTCCCTTCCAACCCAAACCATTCTAGGATTCTATGGTTCTGTTGTTCTGCATTTTCAGAACACTATTGCTTGCAAAGTAGGGAAATGAGATTTCTTTCTGCCTTTACAAACATGTGTGGGTGACAACAAACTTGTTCTTTCAAACAAAAAGGAGGCCCTATTAGGCAATCAAGTTTTGTTTCACAGGCAAGGTCATGTTTGCTTATCAGAGCATTGCTTCTGGTTTCCAGAGTTCCCCTAGTTCCCAGTGTTCAAGAGCTCTTTAAGCACCAAGGAATACTTTCAGCCCTTTCCTGTGATAGGAAGTAAGGGGTTATTTGCACAGTGATGAGCCTTTTCTCTGTGCTCCCTCTGGTGATGTCTTAAAGGTAGGAATCCTAAATTCTACATCTTTCTGCAAAATGGGATATACTGATTCTGCTGGAAGGATGGTCTACCAGCGGTGGTGAAAGCATTTAGTCCCAGTGAGTAGCTCTTTGCATGTTTGGTCAGTTGGGTTCCTAACTCAAGCTCTTGCTATCATTTAGGTAACTAATGTAGTAAAATGTACAGTATCTGCCCAGCAAACTTCCAGCAGCCGACGGGAATGCTGTGACATGCTAGTAGTGACTCAGACAGAGGATTTTTGATGGATTAGTACAAAGGATTCAAAGTAAACTACTGATAACCTCAATCAGAAGAGTACAGCATTTTTGTAGCCAATTTGGCATCAGGTACAGTTAAACCAAGGAAATTGTAATTGGCAAGTGCTCTGGCAGGATACATTTAAGGCATCTGCTTTATTCCCATCTGTAATCTGTGCTAATGAAGGCACGATATGTCTTTGATCATGGAATGAAAAGAAAGTCATAGCTTTTCCTTTAATCAATTAAGAGGAATTCAACTCCAGATTCACACTCCAGATACGTAAGGTTCAGGGCAAGTATTGTTTTCTCCTCTTTCTAGGATAGATGATTAATACATTTTCTTCCCTAGCTAATGTTTTTATATCATTTTTAAGGCTAAAAATAAGCTTCCTATAATGGTTCCACAGACATTTTAGCATCAGAAATCATGTCCATGCAAGTTGTATGATCAAGCATGGGTTTTAACAAGGCATTTGGAAGCAATGAGAGTAATTCACTGTTTTCTCTTGCCGTCATGTGGCTGTTCCTCAGATGTTCTGGAGAACTACCGTGTTTCTTTTTGCCATTATTTCCTCCTATATGAATACAGTTTCTATCAGGGAGGCTTCTTAGTGTGGGGAAGGAGGAGCAACCTTCTTTTGCAGCCTAACTCATGGTCATGGCTTATGGAGGGCTTCCACTTGAAGCATTTCCCCACCACATCTGGGCTACCTATAGCTCTATTGGCAGCAATTCTTCAGAGATGTGGTTCTTCTGCTTTACGTTTGGCATTACAGGATCCAGTGATAAGGTGGAGATACACACACTAATGTCACCACTAAAATGGAGTGGAAATGAGTGGAAAAATGGAGTGGCTCTCCCATGTGGAAAGGTTTTAATTCCTAAATTTGTCAGTCTCCAATAAGCACTCAAGTTATTGGTTGAAACCAAGGATTTCTGCATCTGGTCTGTAGTTTGCATATTCTTTCACAGGCCAAAGCACTTTCAAGTATCACTTGAGAGTAGAGAAATGCTTGTAAAACATGTTACAGGAGATTTATTTTAAGGCAATAATAACCAAAGAGTTACTATTTAAAATCTGCCCTGTTGGAAACCTGACATTTGATGAATAAGGGAGTCAAGGTACAGCTCTAATACTGACCTAAGCAATGGCATTTTTTCTGACTAGTAGGGTTTGCAAATGACATGTTAAAGAATGTCCTTAATTTGGGGTGGTTCGTCATGGTAGATGGCTCTTTATGAAGGTATGATCTCTATATGGATGCTGGATGTGGCCGCCCCATCCCTGGCAGTGTTCAAGGCTGGACACAGGGGCTTGGAGCAGCCTGCTCTTGTGGAGGGTGTCCCTGCCTGTGGCTGGGGTTTGGAACTGGATGAGCTTTAAGGTCCCTTCAACCCAAACCATTCCAGGGTTCTATGATAAATGTTAATGCTGTTCAGTGAAAAAAAAACCTTAAAAAAGAGGCTTCATAGTAGTTCACAAAGGCTGGGATCTTCATGACTACCCAGTTGTGTGACTCTTGGTCTTAGCACAATAAATGCAGTAATAGCAATACAGTTTACTCCTATTGTTTTGCTGCCTGAAAACTGTATATGTGATTTTACTGTCAAATATGAGATTTGTGGGTAGTAAAACTAATGTCTTCCATGGATCTCAACAGTGTTGAGCCCACAGGTTTTTCCCACAGCACTGGGTTTAGGGTGGGATGATGCTACAGAGCTGGCAGATCTTTATGGATCTGGGTATAGTTTTGCCTCAAATATAGGCAGAGCACAAAGGGTTTGTGTTCCCTTCTTGATGGACAACATGCTGGAGGATGTGATTCTCTCAGTGCCAGTGGGCTTTGCATCTGGTGTCATGAGCCACATGCCAAACTCAATGAGATGCCTGGATAGACTGGAAAGGGAAGGCAGGTGTTAGCCAGTGTCCTCCAGAGGGATCCAGAGCCCTGGAATGAAATTGCTCCCTTTCTCCTTAAGAAATTAAACCTCAAGATCAGTTGCAGGCTAAATCTCACTTCAGTCAGGTTTGGTGGTAGTGTATGCAACTCCAGTGATACTTGAACCACTTGGTACTGGTAGATGTGAGCTGGCTTGGTGGGTTGTGGTAGCCTCTCCCTCTGTACTGAAAAGATTGCTACTGAAAGTGCTTGGAGTATTCTACCCCGGATTTTATGGGGTGTATCAAGGAAGTGAACTGCCAGGATGAAATACCTGAAAGAGGAGACAAGTGAAATGAATGAAATAATTGGGGAAGTCAGATCTTGGGGATGTCAGATCTAGGGGAGTTTCTACACATGGGACTCTGCTGGAGTGGAGGGTAAATAGGTTCTCAAGACAAAAAGCCTTTGTCCTTTCAGCATCATTGTACTTTCTTGAAGCAAATACTTCTATAATCGCGTTATATAAATTAAAAAGTGAGAAATACCAGATGCAACTGAATGAAATGGAAAATTCACAGGGAAGGATAATGTTCCTTTAGTCCTTGATTTCCCTTTTGGTGACTTCCTATCTGTGAGAAAGTAATGGTCCTTAAGAAGCAGGTATAGTGAAGTTCAGTGTTATCTATAGGCTGTTTTATGAATGTGTTTGGAAGGCTTAGAAGATGTGGAATTACTATTCTGTTCTTGAAGTTCAGTGTAGTTCTGTGCTGTAAAATGAAGAATATCCACAAGTTATGGGGTTTTCTTTGAAGAGCTGTTGGGTTCCATCAGAAACACCAATGGAATTATGGCAGCTGCTCTTTCAGGCAGGGCCGGCAATGATGAAGTACGTAACAACAGGTTTCCTGTCCCATAGGAGAATATTTCTTCAAATCGTTATTGATATGAGAGCATCAGGTTGAAATAACTTTGCATTATGGGCTCACCCTCTCAACTTCAAATCCAGTGTTGCAGCACTATTTCTGAACACCAGGAATGGCACATGGATTGTGTCACAGGATTTGGGGTATTTCAAAAGGACACTCTCAGCTTTTTTACCTTTTAATTTATCAATTAATAAATTTTAAAGAGGATTTTAAACTTTGGCTTTAACCTGCCAGAGGGGAGACTGAGCTGAGCTCTTAGGCAGAAGCTCTTCCCTGTGAGGGTGCTGAGGCGCTGGCACAGGGTGCCCAGAGAAGCTGTGGCTGCCCCATCCCTGGCAGTGTTCAAGGCCAGGTTGGACACAGGGGCTTGGAGCAAGCTGCTCTAGTGGAAGGTGTCCCTGCCCGTGGCAGGGGGTTGGAACTGGATGAGCTTTAAGGTCTCTTCCAGCACAAACCAGTCTGGGATTCTGTGAATTGGCAAATGAGGCAATGAACTGAAACCTAGAACTTAGAACAACTGGGCTTTGTATCAGGTGTGCAGGGTGAAGCCATGTGTATCTATCCATATGTATATCTATCCATGCATATATCCATGCATGTATCTATCCATGTGTGGATAGATACCTGTGAAGCTACAAAGCTGAGCTGACACAGCTTCTTCAGGGTTATTTTAATGTGAGGATGAGTTCTTGAGTAGCTTTTCTGGGACATTAGGCACAGCATGCTTTTCTTCATTGCTGACGCTGGCTTCCATGTATTTCCACGTTCCAGGAATGCACTGGCAGCACTGGAGCCATTGTAAGGCAAATCTCTGTATATATATACTCCACTATGTCCGTTTTACTGTGTTCCAGGGTGCCTAGTAAAAGACTGCCAAAATGTATGTTATTTCATACCAGACAAAATCTTTAAGTACAGTATTTAGCAACATACAGCACATTTTTCAGTGTTTTGGCACTCACATTGCTTTCCTAATCTTGGCATGCCAAAAGGTAAAGAACACGACTTGTTACAACAAGAACTGCTTTATTTTATAGCCCCTCTAAGCACTGCTACATATCCAACCGTCTCCTGTGAAATATGTGGGGAGCACATAGAGAATAAATGGGCCAGGGCTTTGCATTGCCATGAGGAGATCTGCCACTGGGTTCCCATTGCTTGCTGCTTTTGGGCGGGGGGGGGATAAGAAAAGGGGAGAGCTCTGTCTTATGCCTTGGCTGGAATTACATTGAGCACAACCTGCCCCTCGTTGGTAGCAGCTAAACTGAAGAACAATTAATGGCTACCTAAGGCTTTCAGTGAAGATGAGGTGGTGTAGCCTCAGGACAAAGGAGGAAAAGGAACACTGGTGTATTTTATTTGACACAAAGAAGGAGAAAGCAACCTGTGGCTTAATTTCCATTTGTTAGGTAACAACAGAGCTTCAAATGAGCCCATTTTAGGTTACTGGAAATTAAAGTGAGTGCTGTCAGGCAAACAAATGATGTAGCCACAAGGCAGCATATAAATTCAGGATAATCTCAAGTGCATAAACCCATACTGGAGAGCCAGAGCTAATAAATGCTAGTGAGGGAGCACAAATGAACCTCAGCACAGTCACTCCAGCAGCCAGGTATTCATGGACAGTGTCGTGTGTCAGAAGTGAGAAGAATGTGTATTTATTGAGTAGTTTGTAATGTTGGTAGGGTTGTGAACTGAAAGCTCTTATTAGTGGCACAGAGACATGCACACATGGTGTGATAAGCCCACATCCAGCCCCAAACAAGGAGTTTCAAGAAGGATCTAGGCTATTTTGCCCAAATTTGCAGTGGTACTTCTCATCACTGACTGCTGCCCTACCCAAGAGCACCTCAACTCCATGGTTGCTGCATGCCCAAAGCATTGTGTGCTGCTTTTGGGGATGCCCACAGCTGCCTTGGGTTTTGTGAATGATGGACAACTCACTCTTGGCTTTTCTTAAGCTGATTCATGGCTGACAGAGTAATGAGCTCACTCAGGTGAGAGGTCTAGTTGTTTTATCCATCAACTGTTCCCAGGGCAGATGTAGCTCAGCAGTTGTGCCCTCTGCCAAGGCACAGAGGGAGGCAATCAGCAAGTGGAGAGATGAAAGACAAAGCTGTTCTGTGTGCAGCAAATAACCTGTGAAAACCTTGTTCAGCCTGGAGAAGAGAAGGCTCCTGAAGGGGAGACCTGAGAGCAGCTCCAGTGCCTGAAGGGGCTGCAGGAAACCTGGAGAGGGGCTTGGGACAAGGGCCTGTAGGGACAGGCCAAGGGGAATGGCTTTAACCTGCCTGAGGGGAGACTGAGATGAGCTCTTAGGCAGAAGCTCTTCCTTGTGAGGGTGCTGAGGCGCTGGCACAGGGTGCCCAGAGAAGCTGTGGCTGCCCCATCCCTGGCAGTGTTCAAGGCCAGGTTGGACACAGGGGCTTGGAGCAAGCTGCTCTAGTGGAAGGTGTCCCTGCCCATGGCAGGGGTTGGAGCTAGGTGAGCTTTAAGGTCCCTTCCAACACAAACCATTCCAGGATTTCATGATTTTATGAAAGGATTTTAAAGTTTGGTGCAAATCCCATCGTATGCCAAGTGTAGTAAGAACTACAGTCCTCATATACCCCTCTCTGCACAGCAACACTTCACTTGTTTAGGGAATTGGGTCTCCTTGGTTCAGGTACTCCCTGACCTAGAACACACTGATCACAGTTCAGACATGTGCTTGTTCCCTGGGTATGAAGTACTTGTTGAAGATACTTCTGCTTCCTGTTATGTAGAGTCTGCGGGTTTCAGGATTTCCCCTGAAACTGGAGTGTGGTGTCTGAAACTGGTCTGTGTTTTGTGCTGTTGGAGACCTTCAGTGGAGCCACAGTGTCCCTGTGAGTACAATACCAGGCAGAGTCAGGTGACTGGAACATCATCCTTTGAGCAGGACGCTCTGACTCTCTCCTTTGCCTTGGGCGAGTCCCTTGTGTGCGTTCCTCACCTGGCAGAAGAAGGATAAAAGCATAAATAACTGGCATTGCTGAGGCGCTCAGAACAGCTCAGAGTTGAGGGTCATTGTGGAAAGGACACTTCTGAAATTACTAGCATTGTTCGTGTGACTTGAGTAACAACAAACTGGAGCAGACAGCAAAGCGTTAGAAAGGCTACACCAAAAGCAGCCAAATCCTGTCTGCTGGAAGGGAAGGAAATGGTGTCAGTCCACAGGGCCTAGCACCGAAACATCTAACTGTTTTAATGGCTTGGACCCCAGTATCATTTCAGAAGGCCCATGGGGATCTTGAGCTTTTTCTTCCCCATCTCTGTAAGGAAGGCTCCCAATCAGTGGGTAGCAAAGGCGCTGACATCTGAGACAAAAACACAAATTAAATCAGCTCAGCATTGAATTGCATTTGCTGTTTGCACTGACTAAACCCTCATGCACAGCTCTTTAATGCTTGAAAATGATTTCCATCTCTTCCTCTTCTGACAAGGACCTTCTGCACTGTCACCAGAGCAGGGACCAACCTTTACATTTAAGTAATGTTACTGAAAATACTCTCTGTGGAAAACAGGCTTATGCTTTGGCATTGGTCTTTCACACACACTGGGAATGCTGCACAGCCAGATCATCTGTCAGGAAGCACAAGGATGAGAGGTAGAAAATGCTGGGTTTGGACCGAGCTGCGGAAGCAGACAGGAAGTAACTTTCTGCTTGGTTCTTGGAGCCCAAGCCTGCACTGCAGCCATGGGAATGGATTCAATTATGCTGCAAGCTTTATTACTGAAATATTCAGCAGGGAAACCAGAAGAAAACATTTTCAAACTTGATTCCCAAAGTTCCAGAAAAGGATTTTGCAAGCGTTTTATTTCTCCCAGTTTCAGTATGTGGTAAAAAGAGCAAATACTGAGTGGGATGGAGGAACTTCATGCAAAAGCCCCTTCAGATCAATTAAGCCCTTCCTCCTGCTCATAGCCCACTCACACCACACTCCTGTCTAATTTTATATGTACTGGCTATGGAGCCACTTTTGGTGGGATAAGTTCCGGCTACCCTGCCAGGAGCTCTTCCCCTGTTAAATTTTCTCCCACTGCTTGTGCTTGCCTACCTTCTCTATTACCTGAAATACTAACCAACAGTCTTCCTGCACATTTACTTCACAGAATCCCAGCCTGGTTTGGGTTGGAAGGGACCTTAAAGCTCACCCAGTTCCAACCCTGCCACAGGCAGGGACACCTTCCACTAGAGCAGTTTGCTCCAAGCCCCTGTGTCCAACGTGGCCTTGAACACTGCCAGGGATGGGGCAGCCACAGCTTCTCTGGGCACCCTGTGCCAGCGCCTCAGCACCCTCACAGGGAAGAGCTTCCGCCTAAGAGCTCATCTCAGTCTCCCCTCTGGCAGGTTAAAGCCATTCCCCTTGGCCTGTCCCTACAGGCCCTTGTCCCAAGCCCCTCTCCAGGTTTCCTGCAGCCCCTTCAGGCACTGGAGCTGCTCTCAGGTCTCCCCTTCAGGAGCCTTCTCTTCTCCAGGCTGCCCCTGCCCAGCTCTCTCAGCCTGGCTCCAGAGCAGAGCTGCTCCAGCCCTCGCAGCATCTCCATGGCCTCCTCTGCACTCGCTCCAACGGGTATTTATCCAGTATCATGGGCCATGGCTTAGCAGGGCAGGACATCCAGGGTGCTGCTGAGTGACACAGCTAAAGCCTCCCTTGCCACTCAGTGCGCACATGTCCTTACTTGTTCCTACTCCTCCCCAGCAGTGTGCCCGGTCATCCAGCTGGGTGGGTGAAATTTAGCCCCGGATTCATTCCCGTTGACATCTGTGCTGTCTGCTTGCATATGCTCAAGATTAATGTTTAGGCTCTGTTTTGTAATGAGCTCTAAATCTTCCTTCTAGCTGTCATGTAGTTTCCTTGTTCACTAATTACATTCACTCTTGGAAGAAGCCTACGTGCTGCGCGCAGCTCAGCTTGGATGGAAGATGTTATTGTCACAGCAGATTGCTTCTAAGGGCCGTCTCCCAAGTGAAGCTGAGCAGACGTGGCTCTAAATACCACAGAGGACCCATCGCCACCTTCAGTTCAGCCCAGCAGCATTTTGCAGAGCTTGTGTAATGTCAAATACACCTTCCAAAAAGAAATGCTGGAAAAGCGGTTGGAGCAAAGTGCAGAGGAGGCCATGGAGATGCTGCGAGGGCTGGAGCAGCTCTGCTCTGGAGCCAGGCTGAGAGAGCTGGGCTGGGCCAGCCTGGAGAAGAGAAGGCTCCTGAAGGGGAGACCTGAGAGCAGCTCCAGTGCCTGAAGGGGCTGCAGGAAACCTGGAGAGGGGCTTGGGACAAGGGCCTGTAGGGACAGGCCAAGGGGAATGGCTTTAACCTGCCAGAGGGGAGACTGAGATGAGCTCTTAGGCACAAGCTCTTCCCTGTGAGGGTGCTGAGGCGCTGGCACAGGGTGCCCAGAGAAGCTGTGGCTGCCCCATCCCTGGCAGTGTTCAAGGCCAGGTTGGACACAGGGGCTTGGAGCAAGCTGCTCTAGTGGAAGGTGTCCCTGCCCGTGGCAGGGGTTGGAGCTGGTTGAGCTTTAAGCTCCCTTCAACCCAAACCGTTCTCGGATTCTATGAACAATGGTGGAACATAACGGAGTGGGATCATTTGCCGACCCCCCCGGTGTGTCTGTGGCTGATGCTGTGCACCCGTGACGCCCTAAATCACCTCACTGCGGGGACCCCCCGTTCATGTCTGACAGAGCCCACCTCTGCTCCTCCCCGCCCCGGCCGTGCCACCAGGAGTCACTCTCGGCCTCCACACGGGGCCGCGCTCCCCAGCCGTGTCCCCGCCGGTGCATGACCGGGCCGGGGGATGGCCGAAGGCTGCATCTCGGGGCTCCCCTCACCCCACCGCTCCCCACATCGCTTGTTTCTATCATTTAGGGGATTTATTCCCCTCACACGCTGTGTCCGGGCGCTGTTCCCCGCTGCGCTCTCCCGCTCCTCCCCTTTACCTCACACGGCCGCTCCTCAGCGTGGGTCCCCTCCGCGCTCCTCAGGTGCGGGCCGGGCCGGGCCCAGCCTCCGCCGGCGCCGCTCAGGAAGTGACAAGCGCATTTCCTCCTCCCTCCTTCCCTGCTCTCCCTCCCTCCGCCCGGCCCTGCGCCCGCCCCGCCCGCAGCACGGCGGCGGCGGCGGCAGAGCAGCTCCGAGAGCCGGCCCGGCCGGGCCGCGCCGCCGCCACCACGGTAAGAGCCCGTGCGGAGCGGGACCAAGCGCGGAGCGGGGATGCGCGGGGGGTCCCGCTCGCAAGGAAGCACCCTTTGTCCGCACCATTCCGCGGCTGCCCTGCACGGGGGGCGGCTCGGACGGCACTGGGGGGGGGGGGGGGCAGCCTCGAACCGGTCGCTGCTCATCCTCCGCCCGGGCGGAGCCGCCTTTGTGCCCCGGGGACAAGCGGGTCGCGGTGGGCCCCCCCCTGTGCTGCGCGGTTCGGGCGCGGAGGAGCCGCCCCAGCGCCCCGAGGGAGGGTGATGGGCAGCGGGTGTGTGTGTGCCCGGTGCGGACGGAGCAGAGCCGGGGGAAGGTCCCGCTCTGCGAAGTTTCGCCTTTGGGGAGCGAGCGTTCCGCTCCCCCTGCGATGGCTCTGCCCTTGCCTCTGTAATCTCTTCCTCCCGACGCTTCAACACGTGCTTTCCGTCCTCCGGGCACCGAGTGATGTTTAACGGGGCTGCGCCGCGGGTGTCGGTATAGAACACCCAGCATGAGGGGTCTGACGGCCCAGGGGAGCGGTAGACGTGATTGAGCATCCCTGCAGAGATGCTCTCCGGGGCTGTCGGTGCCAAGCCATGCTCTTCGTGCCTGGCACATACAGCCGTAAGAGGAAACAGGCAGCGATGGAGGGGTGCAGCCCTGTGCCCCCCATGGGTCCCAGCATAGCGTCCTGGCTGCAGGGTTGTCCTATAAAGTCCATCGGTCTTGTTTGCCCGCTCCCTGACGCCAGGTTGTTCAAGTTGCACAGTGTCGAAGATTCCATGGATAAAGGTTTCATGAATACGGGTTTTCTCCTCAATAATCGCAATTCCTTGTTGGAAAGGGAGCTTGCAGCACCACGGTGCCTGTCCCGCGGTAGCGCCGCCGTCTCTCCCTGTGCCCTGCGGTCTCCACAGACGCTGGTGTACCTTGGCAGCTCATCCCCTCCTTAGGAAATCCTCTGGAGTATAAAGCGAGCGTAATTTGTTCTGAGCTCGGCTGATAGACGGAGCTTCGGCTGGCGATGGAAACCAGATGTGCATATTTTCCTTTTGAATCCTCAAACGATAACTAAAGTCTTATTTTGACAGATGAAAAACTCCTTGCAGACCGCAGAGGTAACACAGTGAAACCACGGAGGGCTCCGAGCACCTCCGCTCTCCTCTCACCAATACTCTGAGCTCAGGAGGTTGCTGCGACATTCCCCCCTATGGTAAAGCATAAGATTCCCTTGGCCTGCCTCTGACATGGGCAGAAATATGTACCAGGGGTTGGCTGAGGGCTGGAAAGAGAAACAAAGAAACCCCAAAACAACGCCGATGGTGTTTCTAGGGAAAATATTTAGGGTGGGTCATGAAACAGATTAATTGGAGAGATAGTGAAAAACCTGAATTTCAGAGCGGTTTGCCCTGTCCTTGCCTGTCCTGGCTCACTGTGGGTTTGAACAGAGCTGCTGGTTTATTTCTCTGTTTGTAAAAGTCCTCTGGAGGCTGAAGATGCTTGTGGTGGTGGGTGTGCTAGACTTGGCTCCAGCATGGCAGGCTCAGGAGTGCAGGATTAGGGCTGTGCATGGGATCATAGAATCATGGAGTGGTTTGTGTTGGAAGGCACCTTAAAGCTCACCCAGTTCCAACCCCTGCCACGGGCAGGGACCCCTTCCACTAGAGCAGCTTGCTCCAAGCCCCTGTGTCCAACCTGGCCTTGAACACTGCCAGGGATGGGGCAGCCACAGCTTCTCTGGGCACCCTGTGCCAGCGCCTCAGCACCCTCACAGGGAAGAGCTTGTGCCTAAGAGCTCATCTCAGTCTCCCCTCTGGCAGGTTAAAGCCATTCCCCTTGGCCTGTCCCTACAGGCCCTTGTCCCAAGCCCCTCTCCAGGTTTCCTGCAGCCCCTTCAGGCACTGGAGCTGCTCTAAGGTCTCCCCTTCAGGAGCCTTTTCTTCTCCAGGCTGACCCAGCCCAGCTCTCTCAGCCTCACAGCCTGTTCACCCCATGCTGGAAGCACTTTAATGGGAGAAGGACACAACCTCCTTGCTTTCAAAAGTGGGGGAAAAAACCCCAAGCAGACACCCCAGTCTAAACAAACTGCTGTGGAATTGTTTCCACCTCTCCACTTCAAAAGAGAAGAGGACTCCCCACCGAGCACAGCCACGTGGAGCATGGCCATGCGTGCTGGCGGCTCTGCAATAGAATCCCTGGATCCAGACTTCCTCACTTCCAGGTTAAACGCAGAGCAGGGAGGGAAATCTGGCAATTCCCAGCTCTGCACTGGGCCAAGGTGTTTAGAAACCACACCAGTTATAGAAAGCAGATGGCCTTTGGGAGGAAGATCAGGCTGTTGAATGCAGAACTTTGCATGGAAAATCAGGGCGAATTAATGCAGCAGATAATTGATTTGTGTGAGTGAGATCCAGATGTTTATCTATGGAGATCAGGCAGGCTGTGGGGCAGAGCCAGTGCTGATGGAGGCTAATTTTCAGCTTTGGGAACCTGCATACATCAATACATGTGCATAAACATGCAAATAGAATCATAGAATCCCAGACTGGTTTGGGTTGGAAAGGACCTTAAGATCATCCAGTTCCAACCTGCCATGGGCAGGGACACCTCACACTAAACCATGTCACCCAAGGCTCTGTCCAACCTGGCCTTGAACACTGCCAGGGATGGAGCATAAACCACTTCTTTGGGCAACAATAGGTGGACATAAACTGATATAATTCCCCAAATCTGCTTCAGTTAATTACATGTAATTCACTGTTTTTAGTATCAGAGGCTTGCTTTGCTTGTGGACAGGTTTAGATAGAATGAGACATACACCTTTTTGCCCGAACACCCATATTTCTGTGCAGAAATACGTGGCCTTAAGGCTGATGGAGAGGGGATGAGGTTTAATCCAGTTTGTCCGTTTTATTATTACTGGTTGACTCCTGAATTCTCAAATGACAGCTGTGTGGTTTGAGGCTGTTCTTCCTTTTCATTTCCTTCTCATCATGTGCTGTAGAGTTTCTCGATCTTCATTGGGATGGATGCAGTTTGTCGTTCCCTTGTCAAATGTCAGGTAGAAAAGAGGACGCCCTGGGTTGAAAGGGTTGGTTTTGGGTTTGTTCCCTTCCCGTTTCACATGGTTTATAGAATGGTTTTGCTGGGAAATAGCCCCAGTGAAATGTTAATCTGTGGCAGAGCAGACTTTGGACCGACTGGCTGGGGCAGGGCTAGGTGCCAGAGATGCTCACAGCTCCTTGGAGAGCTCAGCCTGGAGGGCTTGGGTCTCCTTCCCACATTGCAGAAGAGCAAGAGGGGAAGCAGAGCCTCTGCATCAGGTCTGCACTCAGCAGGACTCTCCCCTAGGGTGAAAACACCTCCAGAATGACAATCCACATTTATATCTGTGGCCATGGGGGGACCAGTCCATCAGAGGAGCTGAGGAGGTCACTCCTTTGAAGCTCCTCAAGCAAGTTCTCCTCTTGGCTGACTTATTTTTGCTCTTTTCTCCCCCAAAACGGGCAGGAGGAGGAAGAGGAAGCAAAGCTGCTGACTCGGGGAAACACAACGAGAAGGAGGAGGGCTGTTGAGCAGCAGAGGGCTGTGTCTACCCGTGGTCCTCCGTGCCTGGCCCGATGCAGTGGTGGAGTGTTGTGGCAATAGCCGTCCACTGGCAGCCTCCCCTAGCACACTGTAGGTTGTGTTGCAGGGGTCCCTGTGGGGCTGTGCTAAAACACCACCAAACCAACAGCTCCTCCAGCACGTCTGCTCCCCAGAGAGCTAAATATAAACTGATCAGGCAAAGGGAAGGGAATTTTCCATCCTGCTACTTACTCATCTGGGCCTGACGGGGCAATCAGTCTTCCTGGGCAAGGCTCCCTGCTTGAGCCCGCTCCCCAGCACAGCTCTCTATGGAGATGAGACCTTCCATAAATTCCTTGGAGGAGGTCAGAGCAACCCTGCTGCACTCAAGTATCCCTATGAGCAGCGTTGTAATGTGAAAAAGGACTTTTCCAAGGTCACAGTGCACCTGGCTGCCCACGACCCAGCTGGGTGTGCAGAGCAGCAGTGCAGAGCGTGGCTCTGGTGCGGTGAATCAGGGAGCAGATCCACGGGCTGGTTTGTTTTTCCAGACTTTACGAGTTGGCTGCCTCCAGAGAGACAAGAATTCCCAAGCAGGAGTTGTTTCTGAAGGCCTGCCAAGCTGGTGTGAGCTCTGATAGCGCAGGCTTGCATGTGGGAGCCTTTAGTCATCAACTGGCGAAGTGGGCATTGAGCATTAAGTGTCATCATGGAGTTAATTTAACGCAAGCGTTTGTTCTGGCTTCAGGTGGTTGATCCATGAGTCAAAGCCTGTGAAGTTTGATATGGTTCATATGTAAGATACCACATCTTATGCATCTATCTTGAGAGGGGCTTTGGGCAAGGGCCTGTAGGGACAGGACAAGGGGAAGTGGCTTTAAGATGAAATAGGGTAGATTTGGATTAGACATTAGGAATAAATTCTTCAGTATGAGGGTGCTGAGGCGCTGGCACAGGGTGCCCAGAGAAGCTGTGGCTGCCCCATCCCTGGCAGTGTTCAAGGCCAGGTTGGACACAGGGGCTTGGAGCAAGCTGCTCTAGTGGAAGGTGTCCCTGCCCGTGGCAGGGGTTGGAGCTGGATGCGACTTAAGGTCCCTTCCAACACAAACCAGGCTGGGATTCTATGCTCTAACATGTGCTATATAAAACAAATAAGATGAGATATGTTAGAAGTTGAAGTGCATGGAAGGAGGAGCCTGCATCAGACTGACCTGGAGGAGCCCCAAAGCCTGCATGAAGTGTGGCTGCTCCGGTACCACAGGCTGTGGGTCCCTGCACCCGTGGGTAGGAGAGCACTCAGGCAA